ATCTTTTACAGATTCATTGATTCTGTATAACACTTTTTTGTCAGTGGCTTCAAATCTTATTTAGGAAAGTTACATACATCACATGATTACAATGTTTTTATCACAAAAATAATCATGTAAGATAAATAAGTTGAAGAAAGTAAATTGAAAAACTTGTAAGTCAAGAGAGCAAAACAATTTTTTCTGGAAATATTCTTAAAACGTGATTAAAATACTTCCCTTTATAAGTTTAAAAAAAATGTACTTGAGTTTTTGGGCTTTTAAATAACCAGTTTATGACAAAATATACTATTAATTGATAAAAACTCATACAGGTTCTGCGATGTACTTTCTTCAGTTGTTTTATAAGATGAAGTTGAAAACCTTCTCAAGTTCTCCATTAGATTATATATCCTTTCAAACAATTCATAAGGCATTTGCTAAAAGTGATGTTAACTCATCATACAAAGAGGCTTACATTGTTTGGAATGATTCTTACCAGGAGTCTTCAGTACATCAACATGAACAACTGTACAACTTCCCACACACTTCTTTTGATACACTAAAGGCTATAACACACTAATGGATATTGTGTTTCTTTTGAATTTCATTTAAACATTTACAGTCATTTCACAGAATTATATATGAATATTTGTTCTTAGCTGAGTTTGTTCCCTCATTATATTTTCAATAAGTGCTTTACAAAAAAAAAAAAAAAAAAAAAAAAAAAAAAAAAAAAAAAAAAAAAAAAAAAAAATCATATACACTTTTTGTTTTACAATGTTAACATTCACAATAAAAATGTCTTTTCGATCATATAATAGAATACTTACAATTACCAGATCATGTACAAACTATTTCAGGAATTATCCATTTTAAAATTTATGATCATAATTAAAATACAACTTTTGTGAATTATCTGTAATTCCTCATCTCTTCAATTCTATAAGGGGGTGTGAATTCCAACATGTGATTTCTATTATTACAAATTTTGTACATGGTTATAAATGGTACATCTTTTTGATAGTTTTACAGAATTTTTGAGGATGATGACAACATTACAGAATCATTTTTTAATTTTTTGATTGCATAATTGTTTCTGTATCAATCGTACTTTAAATTTTTTGTCTCAGATGATGAAACTTATACATACATGGCACATAATTAGAATCAGTCAAATTTAATATTTACAAGGAAGAAAAACCCACATAAATTCAATGCATCTGTTCTTGACCAACAGCCTTAATTATAGAAGACTCCCAGTTCATAGCTGTTTAATAAAATATAGTAATAGATTCTTTATAAAAATAAACACTTTTTACCACAACAACCAATCTCACAGCAGCACATTCATAGGTAACTCATATTGAAGGTTCTTGTTATTGATTATTCAGAGCTGCATTTGTTCCAAAGGATTTTGTAGATTATAGATTATAATACTTTGTAACATTTGAAAATATATGAACATAAAAATGTAATTCTGAAAGTTAATAATGACAAAATTGAAATTATATGCACAATTTACTAAGGGTTTATAGCTAGAATATTTTCTATTGACGCATCTAAATACTCATGTTACTATGACATTGTGAAAGCCCACAGTAATTTTATATTTTCTAAATCAATAAATTCGGAGAAAAAAAAGTTTTTGTACATCATAATTCTGACCAAACAATGCAACTCTGGATTGTTAACTTGACTTCTTTGCAAAGTTTTGCATGTAACAAAATTTTGCAAAGAATATCAAATATAAGGTAAAGGTGTTGATATACTTCTGTACAACAAATACAAACAATCAACACTACATGAAGCATTATGGTAAGAAAGAAAACTGTACAAATGATCAAAAACATTTTAATTAGGAATTCTGTATGTGAGGAGCATGAATTAACCAAAATTCAAAGGCCAGATTGTAAGGAAATAGAAGCAAATAAAATAGACTTTCAGCATATTGGTATGGGATTTTCCTGTTACCCCAAGTCATATT